TAACTTACGCTGTCTTTCTATTGCATTTATTGCCTATGGAAGACAGCTATTATAGGTGCTTACGTCCAGATACTAATATTACAACCAAATTGGATGTTAAGTAATTTCGGATAACTTTATATGTTGCTATTGGGTGAACATTGGATAACTCGTATCTATAACTCACGTGTTTCCTATTGCATTTATTGCCTATGAAAGAAACTATTATTGTGCTTGCGCCAGATTACTAATATTAACAACCAAATTGGATGCTGGGGTAATTTAATATCAGATTACTGTATATGTTGCTATTGGATGAACATGTTAGGTTTGTATTTGTACTGAGCATTGAGTTTATTATTTACTTTTCAGTTTTTTTATAGGGTAATGATTCATTGTTTATTTTTGCTAATCTCTGTAAGTAATATACTGTGTGCTACTTTATCAGCTGAATTGAAGAAGAAGAGCACAAAACCTAAAAGACCGTCTATTAAGACTTGTTTGGTAAGAATCACCTGACAGTTTTTCTTAGTGTGGTTCGTTTTCAGCTATACATACATTTTCACAAAGAAATTGCCCAAGGTTAATTATTGTATATGCTTTTTCACAAGAAATATGATATGATAATTATGATAGAGAACATGCCAATTAAAATGGAATGGAACGCTCTTGTTGGAGGGTTTTGCCCTTTTGTCTTTGGAAAGTTTTCATGATCTCCTTGAAATTTAATCATTTGAGAGTAGTTCTCTGTTACTATTATTTTGGGATTCAGATGTTCAGCGTAGTTTCTGTTACTATTATTTTGGTTTAAACAATATTAAAATATTTTACACCATATTTGGGGGAAATGGATATTGATTGGAAAAGGGAACCAAAAAAAAAAAAAAAATAATGCCTGATTATTTGAAATTTGAACTCTAAGAAACTTCTCCCCCTTTTTCCTTTCTTGCTCTCAACATCCTTTCTCAATAAGATGGGAAAATTTCATATATATACTTTCATGAATCACGTTTGAAGAATAATATGATCTGAAGTTTGGGGAAAATGAGTTCAAATATTGGGTTTGTGTTTAGAAGCATACGATTTTCCAAAAGCTTTACTCATAAGATCTTGAATCGAAGATTGAGAACCAGTCTGAGCTAGAGATATTTGAAATATATGTTTCCAGTCCCGTTGAACCTTTTTAGGATTTATATTTGCCTTTAGTGGTTGGGAGATTTGGCTAGTAGCCAGAATCGTCATGCAGCTTCTGGTTCATTAAAATCATTTGAAAGTGCGGATATTTTGTTCCTGCTGATCATCCTAATACAATAATTTAGTGATTTGTTCCTATTGATGACTTTACTGCAAACCAAATATTTGCTTCTCGCTAGAAGCCAATTTCAATCTTCCTTCTGCTTGTCTGTTGTGGGTGCCATGGCATTTCCACCCAGAAGATGTATACATTACCTTACGCGATGTCAATCATATTTAGCACATAATGTTGAAACGTGGGTTACTTAGCATGCTCAAATGTCTGTTTAACTAGCATACTGTTGAAGTTGCTCTGTTCTCCACTAAATATTTGCTGTATGATACAGATGATGAGTCAACAATGGATGCCAAGCAACCAGTCCAAGGGAGCTTCTTAAACCTCCTACCTACTCAACCTGAAGTTCCGGAGAAAAGTGAATCACAATGATCTTAACTAACACTTTGCATGACATTTCTTAGATGGCAATGAAGATACTACCAGGTGCTGGACGGTTACTGATTGTTTTAAATCGTTTTCCTGCATTCTTTTGTTAATTTGGCGTGGATAGTTTTGGGAGTGAAGGCCCCAAAGCTAGTCGATTTAGAGAACAGGGTTTTGGGATGACTGGGTATTTGTCTGTCTGTGCAAAAGGTCTTGGAAAGTATATATATTCATCAAGTTTTAGTTTATATTTTCGTTTTTCATCTTTTTTATCAAGCTTCAATATTGGTGATTAATGTTCAAGTGTCTTTTTTTTTTTTTTTTTGTAATTATGTAACTTCTAAGGTTTTGAGAAGGATGGGCAATTCACACAGACACACGAGTGCTTGCCTTTGTTTATCATGTAGAAATAGTTCAGCATTCTCGTTGATATCTGACTCAACCTACATCAATGAATGTTCAAAACCTGCCTTCAAAGTCTCCCATTCCCATTTTCATCTTTTGTGCTTTCAATTCTTGATTAATGTAATAGATTCCTATAGTATAGTTGTATAGAAGGTGTTGCAACGTCCTTCAAAGTTATCATGATTTTCTACGAGGTATGGGTTTTTGAGGTCAAGCCTGCATTTTGTCCCTATGACGCGGGAGTATATCATGCGCTTCATTGACTGGCAGGTACAAATTGAAGCAAATTTCTATTGTAGGAAGCATTGTTTCCCAAGGTTATTGAGAAAATGCTGCTTGTATGAGTATTTCTGGAGATGATTTATCTAGCTGATTGTACCTTTTCCAAATGTTTTGATTTCACAGGAATGATAAAATTATTGAAAAACAAAATGCCATTTGAATATTTACTGCTTATAGTTTCTACCAGTAACTTTCAGGAAAAAATAGAAACAGTTGAAGAAAGCCAGTTATCTCAGTCTCATCAATGGCGTGATATTCGTGAAGTTAGAATTTTTTTAAAAAAAAGCAGCTTAAATTATATTCGTAATTTTGAATTTAATTGACCAAGTTCATACTCTAGTGTCCCAAAGCACCAATATTTAAAGAAACCAAAATGTGAGTTAGATCATCCTAGTTTACTTCAAGCGAGATTTTATAGTTTATAATGTAAAATACAAACATTATTAAATCATTATTTTAAAGTGGACTCATCCTTTAAGACATGAAATATTTTGAAGTTCAAAAAACTAATGCTTCTGTCCCAATAGATGCTTATTAATTATTCCTACTAGTCTGTATGCTTATTGGTTACTCCTATTAATCTCAGGGCATGTTTGGTTTTTTTTTGAGGTGTTTTTTTAAAAGCATTTTTATGCAAGTTAAAATAAATTTTTTTTACACGTATGTTGTAAATTTATTTTTAAAATTATGATATGATTTTCACTTAAACATCCTCTTAATTACAAAGCAAACTTCATAATTGTTAAGTGTAGCGATTGATATTCTTAAATTTGGAAAAATATATATTTTTTTGATTTTATCCTTTACTAAAATTAATATGTATAAATACTACTTCCGGTTCTAATTTTAAGAATTAGTTGACTAGTTTGAGGAGATTAAAGAAATAAGTTAAGTTTTTTTTTTGATACGTTAAGTTAAATTATTTATTTGTAATAAATAGATATTGTCTTTTCTTAAATATCTTTGCTAATCTAATATATTGGATGGAATTAATATTATTAGAAGGATTACCTTAATAAAAATAGATAAATATGAGAGACAAAATAGATTAAGATTTTATAATTAGGATCAAAATAAAAATTTAAATAAAATGTTATATTAAGTACACGAGATACTAAGTGTTGTCAACGCCTCAACGGATTAGAATTAAAAGGAGGGAGGAAAAAAAAAGGTGAAGTTCTACTTCCGCGCCCCTGGGGGGGGTCAATAGCGGAAATGCCTGGGTGCTGACGTATGTAATTGCGGCCCCTCCGAAAGCGTCACTGAACCCCGGTACGGTTACGAAGCACATCACTCATTCTGTTCATCAGGAGCTGCGGCTGTGGCAGATTGGGATATTCGAATACCGGTGAAGCTCCATCAAGCTTCGTTTTGTCTACATTCTAGGTAAAATTTGTTTCCTTCTTATGGGAATCACTAAAGTCTGAGCGATGGGGTTTTGAGCTGGGAATCTGTTACGGATTTTGATATTTTGCTCTGACAGAATGCTCTAATGCGTGCTTAGTTTAAGTTCGCGGATGTGTAAAAAAGAATGGTCGGTTTGGCCAAAAAGACGAAAGTAGATCACAAGTATCTGAACCAGTGAATTATGCGAACCGCAATAACACGAGTTATTTGTCTTGTTGCGGATTTGAGGGCTTGTTTATGTTAGTTGTTGGATAGATGCATGCAATTACATTAAAAAAGGGATTTTTATATGATCTGCTCAGATGTTAAATTGCTTCTATCTCATTGTGGTACCTAGTGAAAAGTGGCTTTCAACGTTGTGTTGTGAGTTCTTACAAAAGGAATTTCAATGATTCGAGCTCAGTGGTTGGGTCGTCTGTTTGATTACCAAAAAAAATCGTAAGGCTAAATAAGGACTAAAATATAGAAAAGAAGGAAGCAAACATTATCCGACAAGGACACAGAAAGGCTGCTTACCACTTATGTTATAAACCGTGTTCTGATTTTGGTTCCAATGGAACTTTGACGAGATGTCAATAACAGCTTCTTGGTTTGCCATCTTGAAGTTCTCCGACGCTACTCTTCTTGTCAACTGCTGTTTGTGTGTCCTGAAAAGCAGGCAATATGCAGGTAAAATCCTTCACATAGTTCCTGATCGTTGTTTCATATTTTCAGATGTTTAATTTTGTTCAGAACCCTAAAATCTACTCATTACCCAAAAAAAAAAAAAAAGATTCTCTTATCCTTCCCTGGAAAATTGCACCAACTTTTTTAAATGTGTAACCACCCTTACCCCCCAACCAAAAAAGAAATTCTGGCAGCAATCATAGTGATCCGCAAAGATAATAGTTATAGATCTTATTCGCTAATTCCTTAATGATTAAAAAATCTGAAGTGTCTTTTCTTTTATCACGCAGGCCAGTGATAGGTTTAACATCAATTCCCAACTTGAGCACCTCCAAGCTAAATATGTTGGAACTGGGCATGCAGATTTAAATAGATTGTAATTGTTTTAATTTCTTAGATTCTTTTCTTAACTCTTTTTCATAACATTCAATGTGATTTATTGTATCTGTTTCCTGTTTTTTGTTTGCATACAGTGAGTGGGCAGTGAACATTCAACGTGATAGCTATGCTTCATATGTTGGCCACTATCCCATACTGGCATACTTTGCTGTAGCTGAAAATGAATCAATTGGAAGAGAACGCTACAGCTTCATGCAGGTTCTCTATCTTCCTTTCTTCCAAGAGCTTCATAAGTTTAAACTTCCCTTGCATGATAACTGCTCAAAGTACACTTGTTTTGTCTTGCTGCATTTGGCTTATCAAGGTCATCATTTTTTGTTCCAATTTATATTCTGTTAATTTAGATTCATAAGTTGTTCTCATTTATTTGGTTTCCATCATTTCTAAAATATAGCCTAAGAAAATGGGTTTTCAATCTGAAATTCGAAAATGGTGTGGAATTCAATTTTTCTTAGTCTACGTTTGTGTGGCCACTATTCAATGTAGTTCTTGGTTATGTAGAATATAGTTTGTTTATCTTTTTTCTTTGTTATTATCTTTGTTTGGAGGTAACATGTACTTGTAGTTGTAGAACAGTGAATAATGAAAGAGGCAACTAGTATTTGTGTTCTTTTACCTTTTCTTTTCGTTTGAGTTATACAGATAGAACGGTGCATGAAATTGAAATGATAAAATGGTGATGTAAAAGAGAAATGAATGGTACATGATTAGATTCTTTCTTTACCTTTAGATGTTTGTGGTGGGAGAGATAATGATTTGAATGGCCAGATTTTCAGTGTTTTCTCTTTTGAAATATGAAACATAAACTATTGTTTTGTTCTTTAACCTTTTCGTTTCATTTGGGTTATACAGAGAACGGTGCATGAAATTGAAATTATAAAATGGTGATGTAAAAGAGAAATGAATGGGACATGATTATGTTCATTCTTTACCTTTTAGATGTTTGTGGTGGCAGAGATAATGATTTGAATGGCCAGATTTTCAGTGTTTTCTCTTATGAAATATGAAACACAAACTACTGTTTTATTGTTTTTTGGAGCCATTTTACTCCGGTATTCAAGCCAAAAGATGACCTGGTAAGACGTATGAGAATATCCAGGATCTTTACGATTTTACAGAAATTTCCCTGTCTTCCACAGGTTCGCATGCATACATACATGTTGACCTTTTATCTGTGTTATGGGTTTTTATTGAATTGAGTAAAACTATACACTTTCCCATTGTCGCAAGAATGAACTATAATCTGTTTTGAAATTTCTATTAGTGATAGCTGCAGCATCCTATTGCCGTAAAGTGCGGAAGTTTATAAATCTGTGACGTCATCTCATGTTTGTTTTGCATTTCTCACAAACACTGGACTCGATACACTGTGATTTGTTGTTTGAATGGACCCTTAATCTCATTCGTTACTTATAATGATTTTTGATGTTTTATTGTTACCATATAATGTGAGATATTAGATTAAGGCAGGTTCTTTCCTCATACCTATACTTAATGGTTAAGCTGCATTATAAGTTGTGCGGGCTGCTAATGGGCCTGTGCATTCATCTAGTTGCTTTTATGGTTTTATTTATTGACAAGCTCTGTTGTCTGTGCAGAAAATGCTCCTGCCCTGTGGTCTGCCTCCTGAAAGAGAAGAAGATTAAGGATTACCATCTGGATCAATAATACAACTTCCCTTTTGGTCATCAGAAGTGGTAGGCTTTTAAGTGTTTGTTATAGTACTATGTTGTTCAAATTGAGAACAATTATGGATTGTTATGTTTGTATATTAATATGATACTCATTAGAGATTGCTGCATCGTCCTTTAATGCTTGCCGAGTATTTGCTATATATCTTGGAAAATTAGATCATGGAATAATGTTTTTAACTATTCTGGATGTTCTCTTATGAGTTATCATAGGATTGATCCTTAAAAAACCTGTGCTGGCATCTATGCAATCATGATTCTGCATTAAAATGCATTTTATCCTGACCATGGCAAATCAAAAAATAATCACGTCTAGGAAGCATCAACCACTATTTTCTTTGCCCTTTTTATTCTCCATTGTGTGCTTTAGACCCTGCAATTTATCGAGAATTTATGTAATAATTTATATCGTTTGGGAAAATCTACATTATAATCCAGCAGATACTTGAGAGGCAAATGACATTGCTTTTGTGTGGATCAGCCTACTCCTCGGACAAAACCACGTGCGCTAACTAATAAAATTTTTTCTGATGCAAATGAGTTCTCCTTGCATTCTTTCTTGCAAGGGACCATAGCTGTAAGCTTGTAAACTGATAGGGTGCTCCTCCCTGTGATTGATCGAGTTTGAAGGGTAAGTCTCTTGGTTCATAAAAACGTCCATGAAGCTTCGTAATAAACTTATAATTGCTCCAACTCGACATTTTTACTTTCTTTTAGCCGCTGCTTCTGCAACCTCAATGCTGTCTTCTTATCACGTTTCTGTTCTGAAATTTGCGGCGGATAAACTGGACTTTTAAGTAATGGTTTACTCTATATAGAATCATCCATTAGTTGATCTTGCTTCAGCATATTTCCTTGTATCTCATGTTGCTTCTTTGTCATTCAGTTTCAAATCTATCCTCATCATTTAAATCTGTCATAAATCTGCCAAGTCTACGTAACCATTGAATGCCCAATACCAAAATGATATTTTTCCAGTTCCTTGACAAAGAAATCTGCTGAAAGTGTCTGTCAGTTTGTCTTGCACGGTGGCTGCATACAAATGGTGTTTGCCATAATCTGCTCCTTGTTGACCACTGCTACTTTAATGTCCTTAGGATAGTTAAAGCCCTTCACCTTCGTAGCAGTAGGCTGTGTTTCATATCCTGATCAACTTACCAACGTAGCTTTCTCTGATTCTTCCAATATTTTCTTCCGGGATTCCTGGTGACAGATGTCAAAGATGGCCCTTCAAGTCGGTAGAGTCAAGCATTCTGGAACAATGGAAGAAAATACGGCGCTTTTTCAAATCACATCATTCGTGAGATTCTAAAAACTTATCCATGTTTCTTTCTACTTTCAAGACTTGAAGCGATTGTGGGGCCCTATTTTTTTTTTTTTTTTGAAGAAACGAGCAAAATAATTAAGAAATAGGAAGATTAAAAAAAAAAAAAAAAGGGTCGCAGATGCAGCAATGCATGATGATTAATAAACAGATCACCAGTGCTTCTCTCTCTCTCTGTTTTTTTTTTTTTTTGGGTCTTGAACAGATCACCAATGCTAGACAACTGTCTAACAGATCCCCACTAAAATGTTTAGGTGAGGTGATATACCAACCAATTATCTGTTTCTACATAAGCTTGCGATGGCTATATTTCATTCTCGATCCGTGCAACCTGCACCACCGAAACAGGACCATCTTGTCATTTTCTATGCTCTTAGCAATTATTTACATGATACGCTGCAACTGAACCAAAAATTACGAATTTTTTATTCATTATTGACGTTGATATTTTTGGCAAAAGGGTACTCTGAAGAATCATCAAATTGCATTTTAATGTTTGATTTATCATGATTAAATTCATATAACATCAAGGGGGGCAAGAGGGAGACTAGTTTCTTTCTATGATAATGAAATCAAAGGGCAAGTCAAAAGGTAAACTTAATATCTGTATAGACTCCGTATCAATTTATTTATTTTTCTTGACCTCAAGATTCAATATAGCAATTGGAGCTGGAGTGCCGTATACTTTGTGCCAGGCCATGTACGCCCCACCAGGTTTGGTATTGGTTTCCAGGCACACATTTATAAAAGCTAGAATTTCTATTGATTAAGAACTTTAAAACCCAACTCAAAATTAAAAAATAAAAAAAAGAAACTACTTGATTAGCTTAATGAAGAAGTCAATTAGCAGCTCATGAATCAGTATTAGCTAAGCTTAACAAATCAATAACGAAAGATGCGCGTAGTGCAAGTGAGGCTAGGCATAATGCCTAAAGGTATACTAAAAGACAATCTAATCTAATCTAATCTCCTTATTATTTTACGCAAAAACGTAGCTTAGACTTACATCACGGTTCCAACAATAATTCTTCAATTATTTTTTTAAAATATTTAAAAATGAGGAAACAAATTTTTAATATTACATATATATTCATAAAGTTCAATTACTCATAAAGATATTTTGTTTTCTATATTGAAAAATAAGGCTACTTGCAGACAAGATGGTCCGACGATTAATGATCTGTGCTCGTCTTGGGATTTTATTTGGCAGTAATGTCCCACTGTAATTGTAATGCCAACTCCCGTCTTAAATATATCCACTAAATAAACAAAAAAATTATTTTAAATATAAGAATTCAACTTATTGTTTGTCAAATCTATAATTGAGTAATGGGTTAATATCATATTTGTCTCCTAAAATTTAACATCATTTTAATTTTTAGCCTATCAAAATTTGAAACCAATAATTTAAATAAAAAGTTTCGAGAACCCAAAACATTGTTTTGGGGAACCTAAAAACTTTAGATAGACAAAAATAAAATCTAATTTTAAGAACAAAAATCAAAATAAAATCAAATTTTAGGAACTAAATACACTATCAACTATTAAGTAATTTATTTAATCTATCTAAATTAGTTAAGTAACTTTTACATAAGAGATTGCTATGAACATGAGCATACTGTGATTTTGTTAAAATTTTTATGTTTTTATAAGTATATCCATATTATGATAATATTGAATAAAATATGCTAAGCCAATGAACTTATGTTCTGTTATCATGAATAACTACAGGTTCTGCTTTTATAATTAAAAAATAATAATAAAATATAGCAAAGATACCGGGCATTTTCAGCAACAAAATACCACATGAATTATGACCGAAGTAAAACCGAGTGCTTCGTATTTGGCACAAAAGGTTAACGATTGGATTAATTTACCTTCGAAGGGAAAAAAGAATGATTTAACGAATACAGCCAATGAAATTCGGGGCCCGACAAAGTTTCACTGACGGCCGACCCCATATCGGATGATTGATTGATTAGCTTCCCAGTTTAATCGGTATTTTGATTCGATTCGGTGGTATGTGTCAAGCTGGTGGAAATTTCCAGTTTTTAATTAATCTAAACACATTTTTAATGAATCTAAATTGACGGAAAAACCTGTCTGATCTGTTATAAATTTCATATTTTTATATTAAATAATTATATTTGAGTAATTAACCTATCATCATGGTAGCCTAAGAAGAGTTAAAATAATCGTAACGCAAATAATCATTATAATATCGTCGTCGCTCTTTCTTCTGCAGTCATCCACTGTCTGAGCCACATTTTCTTTCTTTCATCTCCTCTTCTCTCCTCCCTCCTCACACCTCCTTTCTTTGATTTTTATCTCCTTACTTTCGTTCTAACATTCGTTACAAAAATTCCCTGAAAAAGCTCTGTTCATCGACACAGATCCGAAGATCAGGTCGAATCTAGACCCATCTCTGGGCGTGAAGATCTGAAGCACTGGATTCCTTTCCGCCTCTCTCGTCTTAGATTCTTTCCCCCGACATGGGATTTACTCTCCAGCCCTATGATTTTCCACCCGAGTCGCACCTAATTTTCTCGCACTCTTCTCAATTTTGTATTATTTTTTTTTTTGGCCTTTTCGCGTTCTCCACTCTAAAGAGGAGGAAAAGGGGCTTCTCTGTGTGACCTTTCGGTTCCTTGAGTTACGGTTGTTTTGTAGATTATCGTTCTTGATCTTATTTAGATGATCAGAAGTTTCTCATTTTGTTCTTTTTGATATATTGGGAATCAAAAGCATGATTTTTGTGTGACTTATTACCACATCGGATCGTTCTGTTAACTTTGGAGCTTGATGGATCTGAAACTGAGCTAGAAATGAAGGTAGATCGCCGATGAGATATTCGGATTAATCGACTTTTTTAACGATTAATGCGTATCGGAGACTTGGTTGCAATCTACTAAGTCACAGGAGATTGTGTCTTGGGTGTATGTTTGGTTGGATTAATGGTCATGGATCACGTTATTGGCGGAAAATTCAAGCTCGGGCGGAAGATTGGGAGTGGGTCGTTTGGCGAGCTTTATCTGGGTATGCGCCTTAACATGTTATCGTAGCTTTTCTGGAATACTTTTTTGCCTAAAATTTTCTGGGACTTTATCTCACGTGGCTTTTTGGTCTTTTTCTTAGGCGTCAATGTGCAGAATGGAGAGGAAGTAGGTGTCAAGCTGGTGAGTGCAGTCTTGAGGCATTCTGTTTAATATTTTCGAACTTGTTGTTTTTTTATCGTGTTTTTTTCAATAGTTCTTGGGCATCTTTGGAAGTTGTAGTCGGTGGTATTATTTTCGAAGTATAACGTTAGACACTTTGGCTAAGTTAGCAGCTAATATTGATAGAACTCCAGTTAGAGAAATATTTGCCGATATAGTGGTACCAGTTACTTTTAGAAGAAACGGAGATATTTTGGGCCTGATAGCTATTAGTATAAGCTTATGTACAAATGTTTTGACATTGTCACTAATTCGGCTTTCTCATAAATCCTCAATACAAGTCCCGGATTTGTACATTGGTAGTTGTTTGGGTATTAGACTGTTTTGGGGAGCGTTAAACTTGGTATAGCACTATAGCTTGTAGGTTCTGCGTTCAGGCTTCTGATTATAGCTATTTTGATAGTGTGTTCCCTACCAAGTTCCAAGTTTTAACTTGTGCTATTGCTGCCCCCTTGTTTCTTTCTCTTCCTTGTTTTTTTCAGGAACCTGTGAAGACCAAGCATCCCCAACTTCATTATGAGTCAAAACTATATATGCTTCTCCAAGGAGGAAGTAAGTTCGTTGCCCTTTACTTTCTGTTCTTTATTCTGCCTTCTCAATTCCTTCTCCTGTGGTTAGTCCTTTTTGTTTAGTCTTATGAAACATCATTAGTAGGTTATGCGCTTATCTGACTAAGGTGTTCAATTTGAACTGAAGCTGGTATACCCCATTTAAAATGGTTTGGAGTTGAGGGAGATTACAATGTCATGGTTATTGACCTTCTTGGACCAAGTTTAGAAGACTTGTTTAACTATTGCAATCGAAAATTCTCTCTAAAAACAGTTCTGATGCTAGCAGATCAACTGGTAAGTATGTTTTTGCTTTCAAGAAGATTGTATTCATTATGGAATGCTGTATTTATGCTCTATTTCTCTTCATTCTTGTTCCCTAGATAAACAGAGTTGAATACATGCATTCCCGAGGTTTTCTTCACCGCGATATAAAACCTGATAACTTTTTAATGGGTTTAGGCCGCAAAGCAAACCAGGTATTTTGTGCTATCCCACAATTTTTTTTTTGAATCGTTTTATCTTCTTGGTTGTTCAGACTAGTTTCATCACTTTTGGTTTTATCGCCCATCAAGTTTCATTTGTGATTTAAGGATTTGCTGAAAATATTAGTCTTTCCTGCAGAAAGAAGGGAGATCTGAAAGTTGAGTTTCTAATGAGCTGTATTGTTAGCTAGGCATAGGGGTGGTTATAAACTACTATAAAAAGAAATGGTTCATGGTTTTTTCTGGGACTCCCCCCAAAAAAAAAAAAATTATTGGGAGGAAACTTTTGGTCTCCCTTAATTTTTCTCTTATTCTAAGAAACACTTGTGTAATGGTTCCTTTGTATCAAGATAATCTAATTAACCTTATTTATTTTATTGAATTCCATGCGTTTCTATTTTTTAAGAAATCATTTTCAGAGTTGGGTCATGACAAGAATTTATTCTTTTATTAGTAGCTTAGTTTTTAGTTGTGTATGTATGGGTTCGCTTATCAAAACAAAGTGGTCTATATTGAAGTTTGAGCTGATTACGTGCCATTCACTGAAATCATTCTTTGTTAATAAAATCGATAATGCACAAAATTTTTTAGATTTTTCTATGGAGTTGATATCTGTAAAGTTTAGAACCAATACTGTGAACTTGCTTAGAGTTTTCGTCAGATGTTGATGGTCTGGAAAGCCCTGTGCTCATCATTTTTTTTTTTTTGGGGGGGGGGGATAATAAAAGTCTATCATCAGTATCTCATTTTCACATTTTCTCCCACATGCATGATGAGAAGTTTTTGTTTTATTTGCTTGGCACTGTTCAACGAAAAGGCAATAAGTTAAATGTGCCCATCGTTATTATGTTGCCTGTGTCATCACTTTTGACTGTTCCTGATGCATTACAGGTGTACGTAATTGATTATGGCCTTGCAAAAAAGTATCGGGATCTCCAAACGCATAAGCACATACCATACAGGTACCATATCCAAGATTGAGATTGATTTGTTTTGTGTAAGTTGGAAATAAGTAGTACTTGATATCTCATTTCTTCGATAAGTCCTTAATTGATTTTTATGCCAGTAGCCTTGTAATAATTTTGGGGGGGGGTTGTATTTTTTTTTTTTGTTTGATTTTCAATGGTACAAGTTCATAGATTTGTTTTCACGCATTTTTACATAATCATTATTGTCCTACACATTCCTATATTCATTCCATGGATGGCCATACTATTCTTACAGGGAAAACAAGAATCTAACCGGAACTGCTCGGTATGCAAGTGTTAACACTCACCTTGGAGTTGGTGAGCAACTGAGGCAATCTGTTACAGCATTTAATCACTATGATTTTCGAACTTGATGTTTCCTAATTGAAAAGGGATTTTCTTAATAAAAACTGTTATCTTATTCTGATTATCCTTGCAGAACAAAGCAGAAGAGATGATTTAGAATCACTTGGATATGTGCTCATGTACTTCTTGAGAGGAAGGTTGGTTGAACGACTTCTGCTTTTGTTATAATCATTCTCCAAGTATTTTCATCACAGATTACCTTTTTTCCTCCCAGTCTCCCTTGGCAAGGCTTGAAAGCTGGCACTAAGAAGCAGAAATATGACAAAATCAGTGAAAAAAAGATGCTTACTCCAATAGAGGTCCTATTACTTTTACTCGCAAGCAGCTTTTTTGCCTAATATCAAGATAATTGGTATACATTTATGTTTGGACAATTAGTGGTTTTCTGCTTGAGCCTGTAAATGCGTCCCTCAACCAACCAGCCCCCCTCCCCTCAAATATGTTTCCTGAAGTATTATAATTATTGTTGCATACATCTGTATGCATTTCAGTACTTAAGTTCATTGTCTTTCATACTCCACTTGCTCTGCTGCAAAGAATTCATTGTCTGAATTTTGATGCAGGTCCTTTGCAAGTCATATCCTTCAGAGTTTACATCTTACTTTCACTACTGCCGATCATTGCGGTTTGATGACAAACCGGATTATGCATACCTTAAGAGACTCTTCCGTGACCTATTTATTAGAGAAGGTTAACTCACATTTGAGCTTTATTGTTCGTTTGTTGAAAGTTCTTGCAAAGCCAGGCCATGACATCGCAAGTGTTGGAATTACAGGTTATCAGTTTGATTATGTATTTGATTGGACTATACTAAAATATCCACAAATTGGATCAAGTTCCAGGTCGCGGGTTAGTACTTTATTGTAGTCTCTATCTTCATCTGTGAAGAGGCAAGAAATATAATTGCACTGCATCCCTATCCTAAATTATTCTTTTTAAAGTATAATTTTTGATCTATTTTCTGCAGCAAAGTGGGAAGCAAGTTATAAACCAAGGACCATCTGCAGAGAGAGTAGAAAGGCCTCTAGGTTTGCTCCTACAGCAAGATCTGAAATAGATTTTGCTCTAAAGTTATTTCCTTCATAGTGCTACTGATAAATGGTTTCAATGTCTTGGTGATCCATATTTTGGTTCTATTATGCTTATTATTACTGCTCTATTCTCATCATCTGGTGTAGGATTTGTTTGAAAATTTGTGGTATTGGCATCTGTTTGAATCATCTAAACTTACAAGCTACAAAGTTCTGTTTCATTTTAGCATTAGTTTCATCTTAAGAAAGTGTTTAGATGAATACAAGAAGAAAGACTTTCAGCTGCTAACACGTATCTTTATGCTTCTAATATGGTTGCACAAGACCCTCGGGAGCGACTCCCAGGTTCAGTTGAAGCATTTGCTAGAAGAAGTGGCTCTGGCCTCCTTAGTGATCATTCTAGGCATAGGTCGTCAGATGCGGTGCCCTCATCCAAAGTAGTGGTTAGTGCACTCCTATTTGTAAATCGGCATGTTTATTACTTTGTTTGAGTGTAGCCCCGTCAAAAAAATTTTCCCTTTAGATAGCAAATTGACTGCTTAATTCTTACTTGTTTTATTTTTGTTGTTATTATTATTATTTTTTTAGCATCCTGACTCTGAGAGGGCTCGTAGTTCTTCGCGCACTGGTAGTGCCTCAAAAAGGCCCGTCGTATCAAGCAGTCGACCGAGCTCCTCTGGTGAGCCTAGTGATAGCCGTGCTAGCAGATTAGTGTCAAGCAGTGGCCGGCTATCGACTACTCAAAGGATTCAGCCTGGTTTTGAGTCCAAATCATCATCATTTACTCGTGCTACAACATCAAGAGGTGGCCGTGACGATGCAATAAGGAGCTTTGAGCTTCTGTCAATTGGCACAGGGAAAAGGAAATGAAGATCCGTGTGGTCAGAACTCAGAAGACTCCATACGGTCTCCAGTATTATCTCTTGAATGTTAACACTTGATTACTCTGTACATTTCCATCCCAAGTTGGGTTCATCAACGGCTAAAAGCGCCATGAATTTTTTTGTTGAAGCTTAGACCGGCACATCTTACACCGTCTCCTTCCATGATTATTGCCTCATGGACCCATCTGTGAAGAGACATGTACTGTCTCTTTTGGGAAGTTATTAATATATGAGACTCAACTACTTGTACTAAATACATTCCCTATTTTTCTCTTTTGTCCTGTTAAGAAAAGGAAAAGAAATTGCAAAGCCTAATTAACATGCTTTGCAAGGTTTGTTCCGCCCTCCTGTGCACTACTGGAACCAGACTTTTTTGTTTCATTGTACAAGGAGGGAATGGAATTGCTTTTTCAGTCATATGTAAGTCAAACGTGTCTTGCCAGTCTCTTTTCCGTCTCTGCATATTTGTTTTCCTTCCTGGTAATTGGCGTTTCAAGTTGTCGCTTCCTTCCTCTTCCGTAGTTGTCAAGTACTAGGGAAGATGTTATAGAATTTATAATGACACGTTCCAATTTTTATACACTAATTCTTTTCTTATATGTTTCTTATGTCATTAGAATGATGATTCAGATTTCAAGTGTGCATTGTGTGGAAAAGATATAGTTGGATGACAATCCTAATTAGCTAATTATGTTTTAAAAAATTCTCATAGATAAAAAATAAGTACTCTTTTTTGGATTTGGAAAGAGAGGTAGTTGGCTAATTTAGTAAGTTGGTTATTTATAATAAGCATGTTTTTTTAAATATCCTTGTTAATAATGCATATTAATTATAATAATAGTTGATGAAATATTTAATATATGTAATTATTATAAGGATTATTTTTAAAAAATAGATAAATATGATAAATGAGATGGATTGGTTTTTTATATTTAAATTCAAATTGAATATGAAACTAACTTTTTATGTTGAAGATAAAAGGTGGTATTTGTTTTGTCATTTTCTATTCTTAAACCTTCCAGTTGCTTGTTTTAGTAGGCTGGCCAAAAACAATCTCAATGTTGTATATTTTTCTAGCGCGATAAAAATTTAAAAATTTCCCTGGTAAGGTCCATCCGATGATAGTTTACTCTCGCTGACTCTCTCTCTCTCTCATGAGCTCGACTCTCCAATTTCAGTTGCTACAGTGCGTGCCCATTTGCTACTCTTTCCTCAGTCTCTAGCTGTCTCGCTCTCGCTTTCTTTCCCCAACTTCAGCGTGGCTGCAGCACTCGATTTCCTCTCCTCTCCAGCTCTCCCTGTTAATCGTCGAAAACCCAAAAAAGGGCTTCTCTCATTTTCATCACTTTTCTCCCCTCAAGTCGTATCTTGAACCTCAAATTTTATCCATTTTGCCTTTTTTTTTTTTTTTTTGCTTTCTCCTTGATCATTTCCATTCTCTGATTCTTCCCAATATCGCAATATCTTTCCTCCTCTCTTTTTTGTTTGGTTTCGAATTCTTAATTTCTGGCGCTAAGCTGAATTATTTTGTGGAAGCGCTGGAATGAAGGAAATTCAAGACTATATCCGCTCTCATCCTATTATACATGGTCTCCTATAGTTTTTTCTCCGGGTTGTAGTTGCTAAATTGTGACTAGGTTTTATTAACCCAGGAAAAAGAGTTGAAGGAGAGGAAGACTGCTGGTTGAACTGTGGGGTTTAGGGTTTCTTTTGTTCTTTTGTGGTGGTGATTGAGTTTGGGAAGTGTATGAGTGACGGAATTGATCTGCGATGGATATAGAGGAAACTGAGGATGCGTTGCTGTTGGACCCAGACATGTTGCAGCTTCCAGAGGTGTCACCTTTTGCCCTGAAGTCGAGTCCTAGTATTGCTGAGGAGCTATTCTCACAATGGCTTTCGCTGCCAGATACTAGTCGCCTGGTACATGGTTGAACCGACTGAGCCGGTTTTGTTTTTTTTTAATGATTTTTATTTCCCGATGTTTGCACGCCTGTAGGAGACGGAATAATGCAGATCCTTGTAGAATTTTACCATATTGGTTGCTTGTTAACTTGTTATCTTCTTAAGAATACGGGAGTTTCATTTCGTTAAATCTAAGACTCTGTGGTCTGAGCTGTCCAAAATCTGACAACACCGTTCAGTGTAAAGTAACTAGAAACAATATACTCTTTAGCATAACGATCAGTTGTGATCCCCAATCTATAATTTCATTTCTACTTGATCGCAGTAGTCCTTTTGTCAAGTCACTTTATTCTTCTGAATCATATTGGATATTTTCTTTTACACAGAGTTATGTAATACTGTAACTTATTATCGATGTATTGTGTACAAAGGTCAAGTCTTTGCTTGCTGACGCAAAAGCGGGTGTTCCTTTGAGCGCGCTTGGGAACACAGGTACAAATGCTGTGGCAAGCAATTCATTGCCTTCCATGTTTCCTGCTGGGAGTACACCCCCACTTTCGCCTCGCAGTTCATCTGGCTCCCCACGTACCGTGAAACAGAGAGCTAGTCCTTCTTCATTAGGCTCTCCACTAAAATTAGTCAGTGATCCTGTACGGGAGATCATCCCGCCGGTAATTACTATTCTCTTCTGTTTTTTTCTTCTTTCTTCTAAACCCTGATAAGTTTAAAGTTTGTAGTTCATTGACTGTGCTTTGAATCTTCTTGCAGTTCTATTTTAAAAACGGTCGTCCACCACCAAATGAGGTGAAAGAGCATTTCGTGTTTCAAATTGGTCATCATTTTTATGGTCACGCTGGATGGTCTGCAATTGCATGGTGAGAATGAGAGCATGATATTTTATGAGTTGATCAGTTTTTGAGAACCATGGCAGACCCTTAATTCTCTGGAGAAGTTTTGTTCTTTAATTTTTCCCTGTTGATTTGGCTTCTATTTTTGCAGAATTTAAGTCTGTAACCAAAGAAATCTGCAGCTACCCTCATTTTTTTCCACTGCTCTGTTCAGAAAAATTGATGTCAATTTCACAGGAACGATAACAAGGTATCAATTTCTATTGCATCTGTCTGGATCACTGCATTAGATAAGATTTCTTCCCATGGGAGAAATATATATTAACCGTTTAGAAAAGGGGAATAACAGAAGTATGGTAGATCATCAAGAGACTAAACAATATAGAGTTTAGGTTTATTCGTGATGTGTGCATTAAATTAAGCCCACAACCTTTGTTCACTCTAATATGATGACCACACTAACACATCTTTAACCTTTACTTTAGGTTGTACTAAACATGGCTTTTCTTAACCTACGGGAATGATTTGAGTCCTTAATAATCCAACATCCTTATTGTTTGGGTTCTCTGCCAGTAAGATTAACCTATATGGTTCATAAATGTTTAATATCTCGAAGATTATCTTTAGATCAAGTGGTCAGCAATCTAATTCATGTTTGGAACTTTGGATGTTTTGTAAAATCATTGAGAAAGCTACCTTGATTGATGGTTTGGCTACTTTTTAGGAGGTTTTTGTAAATTGTCTTGGGAAGGCTTTTTAGCCTAAAGTTTGAATTTAATGTCAGAAGCACTTTACACTTTAGCTGGGTCAAATATGACCTTTAGGGTTCCCCTGTAGAATTGAAAGGTTTAATTTCAACAAAAAATGTTACTTATTGGAGATCTCAAATTTTCTGACAAGTTGCTTGGTTGCACCATTTGGCCATTGGATCACTTCCTGTTGAATTAATCCTTTCACTTTATGAAATATTGTAGGGATCAATTTATCGAGTATTGGATTCAGGGTAATATGTTAACTATGGATTTGGCCACACAAATTTATACCATACTGAAGCATCCAGATAGAACATACCTTTCACAGGTTTGCATTATATTAAATATTGTCACTCACCAACTCCTAATGTTCTTGCTATGCGTGATCTCAGTATTATTTACCGATTAAATTCTTGAATGTATGGGATTTGCCCTTATGTCTTCCATTTTGGATGTAGGATGATTTTAAACCTGTCTTGAAGGAACTTTTAGCAACTCATCCAGGGTTGGAATTTTTGCAAAGCACGCCTGAATTTCAGGAAAGATATGGTATTTCCATTTAGTTGCTTAGCAATTTTGTTTTAATTGTCTTAATTTTTTTTTTTTTAATATCTGTGTCCAGAGATCTCTTCATCACATGTTGTCACTTAATGTTTTTGAAAAGGACGTGAAGGTCTTTTACAAAAGTGTTTGCTGTGGTCTGTAAAACCATCCAACTGAAATATGACCTCCTTTATCTCTTTTCTTGGTCCTTGGGGGGGGGGGGGGGGGGTGGGCTGACAATTTTATGGTTACGTTAGTGGGTGGATAATGTGAAAGACAGTTAAATCTACTAACACGATTATTTCATAGTTGCTTTAGTATAAAATTTTGCAATTTGGTCTTTGAAAGTAACGGGTGTGACCTTATAACCAGGCCATGAAGCATGGGGAATGACATTCATATAGTGACATACATGCACTATCAGTACTGTTTTCTTCTCCACTAATATTTATCGTTTTTCTCCAACTTACTGTAAGCTTCATTTCATTGATACTATGTTTTTGTGGTCTCTTAACTTGCTTTCTCCACATCCATGTCTCTGCTTTTCTTGCGGACTACACTGTTTTTAGCAGTGCCTACTTTCTAAACCTCTTAACTAGATGTCTTATTGATTATGGTTTTTTGGGACAATGGTAGTCTTTCCTAGTGATGGAGTGCTGTGTTGGAAGTGCTAATTTCTTAGCACATTGCAGGTCAACATATTAATGAAATTAATCAATATTCATAATTAATGCTTAGTGTTAGTACTTGGTAATAATGACTACAGTTAATCCAATCATATGAAGTTAATTATTATTATTTTTTTATAACTAACAAATGCGATATTATTTTTAACTTTTTCAGGTTTCTCTTTAGCATCTAAAATTCTATTTTTGGAGAATTATGTGAATGCTGAATTTGTTAGATGACTTTGTTGGCATTCTATGCATTATAAACGCTTGTTATAGCACTTATATTATTGATTAGAATACTATATCTTATGGGTATTTATTATTATTTTTAATTGTTAATTTATTGGTTTAAAGTATTTTTCTGTACCAATATTCTTTATTATAATTTTTATATACTGCAACCATACCCATATACCTGGTAATTTAGGCTCACACCTAGTGGAAAAGCGCCCTTTTTTTGGGGGGGGGGGGGGTAGGAAGCTAAACTTAACACACTGAGGTAAAGGGAACAATTGAAAGGAAATCTAGAGAACTTAACTGCAGTTGAACCTCAAACACGTAACCTGGTAGAAAACTCTCCAGCATTGCTAATGAAATTTTTAACTACCGACAATGCTTTAGGCTTTGTTTGGTTCAATGGAAGGAAGGAGAGGGGAGGTTAATTAAAGGGAGGGGAGAGGAGGGGGAGGGAGGTTATGATTTTGTTTGGTTAAGAATATGGATGAGAGGGGATGTTTCTTGTTTGGTTCAGAAGGGAAGGGGAATGAGAGCTAATTATAAAGTGACAAATATGCCCTTATCTCTTTATTTAAATTTTTTTATTGTTTTATTGTAATATTCAAATCAGAATTATTATTTTCTAAT